AATTTCCTAACCTGGAGTTGGCAACCCTATCTGGGTTGTTGTATGTGTTGCTCACGGCAGAGGGTGACGGAACTGACCGAGACACAGAGAGATCAACACAGTGGACATATCGGCTAGCAGATGGAAACGCCCGCACAACGAGAGGCAAAAGTTAGTTTTATAAAGTGAACTGCCCTGCCATCAACCCCGCGGCTGGCCACCCCAGATCTCCTTTGTTGTGCTTCTGGGTGGAATTCCAATGGCTTTTCCTATAGTTTTAGCGAAGGCTTGAAGTTGGGTCTGTTCCCCCCACTCCTCCTCCCCGCCCAAGTCTCTGCTGCCTTTCTGCCATCTCCTCCCATCTTCGTTCCTTCCAGCCAAACGGCCCTTTGTACCTCGGCAAGCGCTCGCTGCCCCCGGGCGCCCGGCGGTCCGGCAGTTCTGGACACCGACTCCTTCCCCTCCTCCTCCTCCTCGGCAGGCGGCTGAATGTGCTGACTCGCTCGGCGAAGGGAAAGCATGTTTCGGCGTGACCCTCTACCCACCCCCGGCTCCTCCTCCCTGGAAACGCGGCGCTGGAGGGACCGCTGACAATTCTCAAGCTCGTTGGAAAGACGGGGCCAAGCGCGAATGGCAGCGGGAGACGGGAAGGGAATTCGATGTCGGTGCTGTTTGGTTAAAATAACCAGCACACAGATCAGCTATAAACATAGTTGGATTGGATAACATATTCTGGGTGCACAGCCATTAAATTGGAAATAATTAGATACAAGCTTTAAGATACAAGTATGTTTTTTTTAAGGCAGAATTTTTTAGACTTTCAAAAATTAAGGAGGGACCGCTGACAATTCTCAGGCTCGTTGGAAAGACGGGGCCCCCAAGCGCGAATGGCAGCGGGAGACGGGAAGAGAATTCGGCGTCGGTGCTGTTTGGTTAAAATAACCAGCACACAGATCAGCTATAAACATAGTTGGATTGGATAACATATTCTGGGTGCACAGCCATTAAATTGGAAATAATTAGATACAAGCTTTAAGATACAAGTATGTTTTTTTTAAGGCAGAATTTTTTAGACTTTCAAAAATTAAGAACTTCAAAAGGCACAGGAATTGTCTAAGTCACTCCTTAACATGTTCTTTGCGGATTTTATAGGCTGCGGCTAAGAATCTGGTGCAAGCAAGGGTAACCTGGGGGTTGACAAAATTTGGCAGAGGTTGCCAGAGCATCCCAAGGAAAGCTCAAGGGCAACATGAAAACGGTGTGAGAGGACAGCGGTTTCCCAAACTTCTGGCGGCTGAAGCCTCCTTCTAAATAAAAACTTGGAGGCACGCTTTATTTGTACACCTAAAAAGGTTTGCTTTTAGAGCCTGTCAGAATAAGGACCTTACCTGCGTTTCTGCAACACCTTAAAGACTAACAAAACATGTGGCAGGGTATGAGCTTTTGTGAGTCACTGCTCACTTTTTCAGATACTACTGGACTCTTGCTCTTTTCTACTGCTACAGACAGACTAACAGGGCTACCCATCTTGATCTTTGTTTCCACAAGAGGTCCTGCTCAGGGCATAGGTTTTGAATAAAAAGGAAGCCCAGAGAGCTGTGAGTTCATGCAGAGACACAACAGGCAGCCTCAGACTGTGGGTAAATCATCGGTCTCTTTGCATCAGGAGTGACTGAATGATCCAGTTGCTGCTGATGGAGGGATAAGGCAGAATTGCCTTGTCCCGTAATTGAGGCTGATTAGAAAAAGGCAAGGCCAGCGCAGTCAGTCATGCAGAGTTGCCCAAGAAAGCCTCCATTAGGCAGTGGGCTGGCACGAAAACTGAGCTGGAGAAAGCAAAACAAACACCCCTGTCCCCTACCTTTGCTCCACTTAGCCTGAAGGAGAACAGAAAAGTGTCCATTACAGCATATAAAGAGGTCTGATGAGTTTTGCTCCACTTAGCCTGAAGGAGAACAGAGAAGTGTCCATTACAGCATATCTGATGAGGTACTCCAAGAAAATGAAGGGAAAATTGTGTTAGTCAAGCTAAAGGACAATTTCCCCATTATTGCCCCCTTTGGTTCATAATAAATGGACATCCTTAAAGCCCAATGTCCACACATTGCCATCTTCTGCTAGGCATATAATGCACATGTCCAAATATTATGGTTGTTTTACTGACCTTCTGGGGCTCTTGTTTTATTGCTGTTTTTCAAGTTGACAGTTTTTATGTTTGCTGTTTTTCCATCAGTTGTCATTTTATCTTGGGAGCTTCCTCAACCTGGTCTTTGAAGAAGTGGTACATACATTTTCTAAGTAAATAATAAATTAATAATCAGTCGGGAAACAACTTACAAGGAAGATGTGATTGGCTGGAGGAGCCATTAGTAACAGTGCTGGTGTTTCCACTAGCAAGGGCACCCCTGAGCTGTTTATGGGATGAGTGAAAGACAGGCTTACTCCGGCCTAGGGAGGCAGATGTATCTCATACAGGACAGCAGCCTTCTCATCTTGACTCAGGCTATGCTAATGTAACCTGTAGGCTGGACTACTGTAATGCAGGGGACATAGGGCTTCCCTCAAAACAACTCAGAAGCTTCTGTGACTGCAAGTTGCAGACACATCTGGGATGAGCCTCTCATCGGAGCACAGAGCACCTATTTCAAAATAATGCCACTGGTTGCCTGTGTGCTTTCAGGTTTGATGTAACTTGCTTGTTCTGACTCTGAAAGTCCTTCAGGATGTGGGACTTGCATCTCAAGGGATGCATTAACCCAGTATATCTCACTCTCTTGCACACATAATACTTGCTCCACTCTCTTGACACCTAGTACTATTATGAATTTAAATCTTTAATGATTAATCGTGAATTTTTGCAGTATCTATTAGACTTCATATTTAAAACTCACCAACATACGTTAAGCTGTTGTCACTTAGAATTTAGTTCATGACCTGTTTAGTAGTGTTTGTTAATGTTTGTACACATACATATATGATTACTAAAAAAGAGAAAGTTTTGTCATTATGAATCGTAAAAGATGTGCACCTATCCTTCGATATATATTCTCATGCTTGTAAAGCATTAAAAATTAATTAAAAGATTTTTTTTTTAAAGGGATGCATCGCCCTGTATGGATCCATGCGCCAGTTATGCTCCTCTTGTTCACTTCTTTCCGAAGTGCTCTCCAAAAGAATGGTCCATTCCTTCTCCGTGAGCCTTTTCAGTCCCCACTCTACCTCTCTCACTGGATAAGCTTAGTGGGCCAGTACCACTCTCTCAGTTTAACCATCTCCTAGACAGTGTTGTAAGGATTAAATGGAAGAAGGTGGGGAACCATGTATGCCACCCTGACCTCCTTCTTGGAATAGCGGGATAAAAACGCACTTAAGTAAAACAAAAGTCCAGGGACAACTTAAGGACTGACAACATTTATTTCAAGAGGAGCTTTGGAAAAGAAGTGAACTGTGACTCACAGTTAAGAGCAACAAAGGCCCTGGTCACACGGCAAAGTTGCCGCGGGAGAGGCACGGATGGTGGGCAGATTATCCGGGCGCGATCACACCCTATCATCTGAGAAGTGGAGCGCACCTGTGGCTTACCGCCAATAATGTGCCTTTAAAAACTAGTACCTCCAAGGTACTAGTAAACGTTTGCCATGGGCTGCCTCCAGACACCCGTGGTGTGATCGCTCCTTCCCCCTCCAGCCCCTCGTTTCCCCGCCGGTGCCGAGGGAAGGACCCGTGGTGTGCCGCCGGCGCGTCTGATCGCGTAATCGCGCATCAAACTGCGCCGGGGCAATTAGCCACGCCTTCCCCCCCCCCACGATATCCGGCCTGTGTGACAGGGCCAAAGTTTTATTCAAGGTATGACCTTTAGCGTGCACTTCCTCAAATACAATGAGATGGAATTTACCAGTCCACACATATGAGGCAGAGGCTGAACAGCAAATTATCATACAACATAATGAACCTTTTTTACAGATGCAAACAGGAATAACAAGGTCATCATTGTTTGGATTTAATTCCAGGGGGAACAGTGAGGCAAATCAATATGTCAAAATTGGAGATAGATGTGTGAATGTATCCTTCTTAATTGTGGAGTGCTAAGAGTAATTAACCGAGACCTTGTTAAACTCTGTCTCCTCTCAAGCGCTCAGGTAACCGATAGCATCCTTTTCTTTGAGGTGCGGTGATTTGTACTGTGGTTTATGAAATAAATAGCTAAGTCTTAAAATGCCCCTAGAGTTTTGTTTTAGTTTGCTACGACACCGCTACTCCTTTGCGAACAATCACGAAATAAGCCAAACATCCCTCTTCGAAGACGCCCGATTCCTGTTTCTGAGAGTCAAGACCGCCAAAGTCCACACATATGAGGCAGAGGCTGAACAGCAAATTATCATACAACATAATGAACCTTTTTTACAGATGCAAACAGGAATAACAAGGTCATCATTGTTTGGATTTAATTCCAGGGGGAACAGTGAGGCAAATCAATATGTCAAAATTGGAGATAGATGTGTGAATGTATCCTTCTTAATTGTGGAGGTCTAAGAGTAATTAACCGAGACCTTATTAAACTCCTTTTCTTTGAGGTGCGGTGATTTGTACTGTGGTTTATGAAATAAATAGCTAAGTCTTAAAATGCCCCTAGAGTTTTGTTTTAGTTTGCTACGACACCGCTACTCCTTTGCGAACAATCACGAAATAAGCCAAACATCCCTCTTCGAAGACGCCCGATTCCTGTTTCTGAGAGTCAAGACCGCCAAAAAGTCCCGTCCGCGCGCCGTTCAAGAAATCTCCCCATTTGACGACGCTCCCTAACGCTCGTTCCGCTCCCCGGAAGAGTTTCCACACTCGACCGCTCCATGCCCTACACGCCAACCGCATCCCTCCAATCACAAAACTGAACAGCAGCAGCCGGGAGGAGGGAGGAAACGTCAGAACAGGTGGCGGGACCATAGAGCCGCGCGGCGGTTAGAGCGGCACCCATCTTTCTTCGGCGAACACGCCGGAAGGAAGGAAGAAAGGAAGGACGGGCTGACGGCTCGCGCGCGCGGCTGGCCTCGGCGGTTCTCAACAGGGGGGGAGGCCGCAGCACCGGGAGTGCGCACGCGCACGAGAGAGAGAGAGTGACCGTTGCTGTGGGTCGGGAGCCGCCGCAGGCGCGCGCCCCCGCCCCTTGAAATTCGCCCCCCTTCTTCTCTTTCTCTTTTATATTCTTACTATTTTTGGCTGCGCCCCGGGAGCGTCTCTGGAGGCAAGAGGAGCCGAACCATGTCGCGCAGGCGGCACAGCGACCAGAACGACGGTGAGAAAAGAGAGGAGGAGGAGGCGGGCGGGCTCCTTCCTCTCCTCCACTAAGTGAGGGGGCTCTACCCTCTTCGTAGGTTGGTTTGGGGGCCGGAGCGGCTGCCTCCCTCCCCGCGTGTGTCTGAATGGGGGGGGAACTGAACCGGCTGTGTGGCGTGTGTCCTTCTGCCCTCACAGCAACAACAACAGTCCCGCGAGGTGGGCCAGGCTCACACCGCCGGCTTCTCACTCGCTGCAGCTCACGCCGTGGTTCGGGGCTCTTTCTTTGCTTTTGGCTTATGGGACCCAGGGATTCTGGTTCAGAATCCAGCGTTCACCCCTGTTGAATGCTTTGGGGCTAGTCACACAGGCTCTCGGCCTCGCCTACCTTACGGGGCTGTTGTGAGAAGAGGGTGGTGTGAGCTTGGAGGAAGGCTGGGGTAGAAATGCGAAATAAATAAACCTGATCAACAACAAGAAGAGTTGGTTTTATACCCTATTCTCTACTACCTAAAGGAGTCTCGGAGCGGCTTACAATCTCCTTTCCCCACAGCAGACACCCTGTGAGGTGGGTGGGGCTGGGAGATCTCTGAGAGAGCTGTGACTGGCCCAAGGTCCCCCAGCTGGCTTCATGTGGAGGAGTGGGGAATCAAACCTGGTTCTTCAGTTTTGAGTCTGCCACTCTTAACCACTACACCAAACTGGCTCTCTTGGGACCTTTGCATGCAATACTGAACCACAGCCTTTCCTTTATGTCTGTCTGTTGTTGAGTGTCATTGACATATGAGGACATGCATCCATTACATTGGAGGATGAGCAAGTGAATGAGCCCGAGATGGTATAGCTGATGTCATTAGTTCCTGTAATTTTGCTGTTTGAGTGTCAATAAGGACAAAGGTGGTATTGAAGTTTGTTGCAGGGCCTGGTTCCTGAATTTGTGTCTCTGTTAGGTGGGTCTTTTACATGAGAAGTTGTTTTAGGTCAGGGGGATGTTTGTTAGCAAGGGAAAACCTACCACCCAAGGCCTGTGAAAGAGAAAAGTCATTATCTAGTAGAGGCTGCAGGACACTGATGATAATTGGACTTTTCTCAGCTGTAGGTGATGCCTGGGGGTGGTTATTATCTCTTTTGGCTTTGCATTATAGTAGGCTGGTTCTGTGCACCATTCTGGTTCTGTTGGTCTTTTTCTTTACTTTATTGGGTGAGTATGGGAATCCCAAAAATACCTGTTGCAAGCCCTTCAGGTGAGAGTACCCATTGAAGGGATTGGACCAAATGTGGCTAAAAAATAGTGTTTGACTGGTGGTTGTGGTTGGTTTGATATGCCCCTCGTGATAGCTGGAAGCATACAGATATGTATGGAGGCAAGGGCAGCCTCTTCCGTGCTCAGGTTGATTGTGAGTTTAAATTGTTGAAGTCCTGCTGGAATCTTCCTTCCCCTGTGGCTAGATAATGGAAGTGTCATTGATAAATATCATTGACAGGAGATGTATTAACGGGCAGGAGCTGAGATAGCTCTAAGTCAGCCATGAAAATGTTCATTGATAAATATCATTGACAGGAGATGTGTTAACGGGCAGGAGCTGAGAAAGCGTTGCTCTAAGTCAGCCATGAAAGTGATGCATAGTGTGGTGTCATTGTGGGACTCTGGAAATGAAATGTCAGTTCCTCAAATATGTTCACATACAGTGGGATCTCCAAACATAAGGTAGGTTTATAAAGTTGCTGCAGAAACAAAATTTGTTGTGAGTGGAAGCATCCGTCTTTCAAATCCAGTCATGGGACTCCCTAATTTGGTTCAGTATCAATAAATCACTGCATTAGAAAAACATTGCATTAGACTGAAATGATATTTTGACATTCCATGCAAGCATATAAATGTGCAGATTTAGGTCTAGCTTACCAATGGGACTTAAGCACTGGTCAAATAGTTACCAGCATTTTGTCTTAGAGCAGTAAAAATAGCATGGTCAGTGGGTTTTTTTCACTGTGTCTTATTGAAGCAGGAGGGCAGCGACACAAGAGGAGGAGAACATCTGAGCCATCCGAAATTGAAGATCGTCTGGAATCCTTAATATGCAGAGTGGGAGAAAAGGTAGGAGAGACTAGCGGCTTCTTATTTGTAGTGTTTGGTTGAGAGTCTTTGACAAGCATTTGAATTGTGCGTGCAGCTTTTTAAAATACTTGCTGTAGAAAGTTGAGTCATCAGCACATCTGAATGCCCATTGGTTTCTAATTGCCCCAAAAGGTACAGAGACTGCACATTACTGTGTACGCATAAACTGCAAACTGTTCACTGCAAATGGTAAGACGAGGAGGGGGTGAAGCAGAGCTAGAGTTAGTCCATGTATTGGGTTTTCTGTTTTCACATCTAGAATTTCCCCAAAGGGAATAACAGAAGTGACCAGCTCCAAACCTGAAATATCTTTTTACCTACTAGGGTCCCTGTTTAATCAAGATGTCTTTTTGTGGTCTATAAGAACAAAAATGAACATGTTTTTGAGACACATTAATAGACAGGGAAATTCAGACTTTTGATCCAAAATAATTCATTTGATGAGATCATTTTTCATTAATTTTCCTCCTGAGTAAACACTTATACCTAAATCATAGAGTGTAATATGTAGGGGGTACATGAAGTATTGAAGAGTTGTAGGCTACATTGCGCTCATGTATGTGAAAGATCCTAGCAAGTAAGAAAATACACCACCTGCTTCCTCGTTGAAAATGGCTTTATGGTTTAAAAATGTTGGGTTCTCCACCTTTGGGCGATACATGATCATGAGGCCTGGTTGCTAACTAATGGAAGGACAATGTGCTGCAACAGGGTGGAAAAATCAAAGTCTGTAGCCCAAAACATCCTCTAGAGGTAGTGAAAAACAAGGTTCTCTGAGATTTTTGGTTGCCCATCACTAGATGAGAAATATATCTTTTCCTCCTGTTAGATTTTGAAGTCACTAGTCCAGCAATTTGGCACAACATGGCCTTACTGTTGCTGCATTAGAAATGAACAAACTATCCAATCTGGTAAATGTCCTGAAGACATAACAATCTAAGTAGAGCAGCAGCAAACGCTCCCTTATAGGAGCTGTTAGATCATTGTATCAGAACCTTCAAACTTATATTGATAGTGAGAATTAAAATAGCATCTGGTGTTAGAGGGTAAATGTGTGTACTCTGTGTGTGCTTCTCCATTAAACAGAAACAGTGAGACCTGATTATACTAGTGTTACTACAAAGTCCTTTTCAAAAGTGTGTAATTGAAGTGCTGACGTGTTTGTATCAACTAATTATATGGGCCTTTTCCTGGTGAGCGTGAGAAGTGGAGTGGCTTTAGCCTAGAGGTGTACAAGGTTGATTGGTTAATCACCATTAAAGTCATATTTGACCATTTTGTTCAAGGGGCATGGCACTCCAAGAATTGCTAGTCTTTTTGGATCCTCTGATAAGGCATGTTGGAGGTTTCATTAATTCCTTAACTGGGGGGAATTGTTAGTTTTTGGTGTTGGCCATTTTGCTAACGTGCTTTAGCCATTGAAAGTGCAATCCCTTGCTGAGTTACTCCACTCTAAGTCTGCTGATCTTAATGGGCTTAGACTGGAGTAACCCTTCATAGGATCACACTGTAGATCAAGTAGGAGCCGGCACAGACATAGCACTCTTGGTAGCTTAACTATGGCTAGCTGATTGGAAGGCTGGAGGATTTTGTTGCTCCTCTAAAACAAGCCATACTTTCTTGCATCTCCGCTCTAGTAACCACACCTTGCCGGTCGGTTTTCAACCATGTTGCAACAGTAATTATGTTAATTATGGCTGTAGCACTAACCGAGGCTCCCTTTCCACCAGGGATTGCTAAACTGCTTTAAATGCCGGTTTGATATCCTAATTAAGAGTGGAACTCTCTTAAATGTAATCACAGTTTACTTTAATGCCAATAACAGCTGTGGTTAGGAGAAGTGGGGCTCATCCAAAGAAGGGAGAAGGTTGCTTGATTCCATTGGCTGTTCTCTACTGTATTGCTTATTGTAGTGTATGATACTGTTTTATTTCATCCTTCTCTAAAGTTCTAATCCTGTTTTGTTGCATTGTTCATTGCATGTATTATACTGGTCTTTATTGCATTTAAAAAAATAACTTTGTAATTTGCTTTTAGCCTTAATGAAGAATATGGATTGTAAATGGAATTATAATTGGCCACAGTAAAATTTGTACTAGGCTTGAGATGCAACACCCTTCTAGATATTGTGGATGAACTTGGAGCTTTTTGCATATGTTGCTTTGCATTTTATTGCTCACTTGCTTACTATGTGTAATTGTGGAATTTGGCAGAGTGTGTCTGTTGTCAGGTTTTTCTTATCTTCTACTAGGAAGCTGCCCATTGAATGGGCCTGTTACTGAGATAGTGTCTTTGGGTGAGAATGTGAATTTCTCCTTTTTTCTCTCTCAAAAAATCCCCTCAGAGTTCCTCGTCTTTGGAGAGTAATTTAGAGGGCCTGGCTGGGGTCTTGGAGGCAGATCTACCAAACTACAAGAGCAAGATACTACGACTCCTTTGCACAGTGTATGTATGCGAAAGGTTTATGGATCCAGGTGATAAAGTATTACCTACACTAAACATTTTAAAGTGCCCCTATGCTTTTTATGTGTGTGCATTTAAGGGCCTTTCTCTTTGAAGTACTGGAACTGGGAAGGAAACTTGAGCAGCTGGGAATGAGCAAATTGAGTAAAATGTACTGGAACTGGGAATAAGTTGAGCTCGTGTAATTGGCATATTCTTCCTCAGTGCATATGTTTGACATTGATGGTTAGAAATTTGCTGTTTATGACGTGGGTTGCAAAAACAGTAAAGACAGTAAATAAATAGGTGGTTATCTATTTAGTTTATGGGATTTATATCCCGCCCTCCCCGCATAGCAGGCTCAGGGCAGGTTCCATCAGACATAATAAACAATATACAGCATATAAAGAATTAAAACAGTTAAAACACCAATAAAATACGACAACATTCCTCTGGTACAAGTCATAGTTAAAGCCTCACAGGTGCCATCTATTTCAGGTTTTAGTCCTTGGGTGGTAATGCAGGGCTGACTGACTGGGGGAAGGCCCGTTAGATAGAGGGGGATGTCTGCCACCTTAACTAAAAGCCTGGCAGAAGAGCTCCACCTTGCAGGCCCTACAGAGCTGTAGAAGGTCCCGTAGGACCCTGATCTCCTATGGGAGCTCATTCTACCAGGTAGGGGCCAGGGTTAGACAGACAAGACGACCCTGGGGCCGGGACCACCACCAAAAGATGGTTAGAAACAATGTCAGGATTTAGTTAGGAACTTGGGGACTCAGGGCAACAGTGTTGTGGGTATTTCTCTTGATCCCCACCCTATTGACTTTTGTGCACGTATTTTCTGGAGCGCTACTGCTAATCATTCAGCCATATGCTCTGCCATGCAGATGCCATGATGAGCAGACGTTCCACTGTTGCAAAGAACCGTTTGAACTGGGGGATTTTCACCAGGTCTTTGACAGGTTTATTACAACTCTGCCTCATTTAGGGCTTGTGATTCATCTTTTCGATCAGGTCCCTGATCTGCAAGGATGGGTGATGCGCACAGCTACCTAGCTGTGGAGCTTAAACAAGCAAAGCAAAGAGTCAAGGATATTTCAGAGTCCTATCGAATTCTGTGGTCAGGGAGAGAGAGTTGGACCAGTTCACCATCAGAGATGCTTTCCTCCAGCAAAAGGAGCCTTGGCCTATCATTGGAGGAAAGTGTCTCAGCTGACAGAAGGGATCTATGAGAGCCAATCCAGAGCCAATTCTGGCTTTACCATCCAGAGATGCAAAGTTTACATCTGCTTCTTGAGGTTTGCTATGCGTAAGGATGCTGATACAGTGGCTGTAGTCTGAGTTAACATCTTGTATTTTCTTTGTCTCCTTTTCATGAAAAAAAAAATCAGTGCACGTTTGTTACCAGAAAAGCTGACTGTTTACACGACTCTAGTTGGCTTGCTGAATGCCAGGAACTACAATTTTGGTGGAGAGTTTGTGGAAGCCATGATTCGTCAGCTCAAAGAGTGTTTGAAAGTCAACATGTATAATGAAGCTGTGTATTTAGTAAGTTTTTTTTTTTTTTTTTTTTTGAGTGAGTCTTATAGTTATGTGGCTTGTCTTGCTGACCAGCAAACCTGAAGGGCCCGTGTTTCCTCTTGCAGGGCATATTGTGGAAAACTGAATGTTGTGCACACTCATTTGAAAGTTTGGTGCTGGCCTCTCTTGTAGCTTCATTATAGCAACCCTGAAGGGCTGATGTTGTGTCATATTTTGAACTGAATACACCTGAAGCTGCCTTATCAGACCTTTGATCCGTCAAAGTCAGTATTGTCTACTCAGACTGGCAGCTGTTCTCCAAGGTCACAAATAGAGGCCGTTCACATCACCTACTGCCTGGTCCTTTGATCTAGAGATGCTGGGGATTAAACCTGGGAACTTTGTGTGCCAAGCAGAGGATCTACCACTAAGGCACAGCCACTTGTGCCCATATATATATTATTTATTTATTTTGATTTTTAGCCAATCTTTCCTGCAAGCAGGCGTACCTTTTTTGGGCCGGGGATAACCAGTAGATGTTGATCAGAGGTGTGCAGAGCCCTTTGAGGGACATATTGGGAGCAATGGTCCTGTAGATGTGTTGGTCCCAATCCACATAGGACTTTAAATGTTAAAATCAGGACCTTGAACTTGATCTGGAATTCAACTGGGAGCCAGTGCAGCTGACACAGCACCAGACGTATATGTGCTCTTAATGGTGTCCCCATAAGGACAGCGCTGCTGCATTCTGGACCAGCTGCAGTTTCTGGGAATCTCAAGGGTTATATTTTGTGATACGGTGCGGATGTAGTCCACATCCTAACTATTTGTGGTGAATGAAGGCTTACGGTCCAGCAGGTGGAGACATTTTTCATTCCCTTTGTCTTTTTAATGATCTACAGTAGGAAAGCAGTGCCTGTTTTTCTGTCTTGTGCCTGTTTACTTGCTTTTTTTAACCAAGGAAGGGTCTGTTATAGTTTGGCCCTGTAATTCAATCTGTAGAAAAACTGGGATTCAGGTTCATATGCTTCCCTGCCCCCCTGCACAGATGGAAGGTACTGAACCACGAAAAGCCCACGTTTGTTTATAGCTGGAATGTGGGGTTTTCTTGCAACCTCTCAGCTCATAGTGAGGGGAATGGGGGCAGAGAAGCACATGAACTGACTCCTGATAATTGCCCCTTTAGAATCCAAGTCAGCCAAGTTGGGGTGGTGGTGTTCGCCTATAAAACCCTGGAATGTTTCTGTTCTTTCTCCTAGGTCCGTTTTCTCTCTGATCTAGTGAATTGCCATGTAATAGCTGCACCTTCAATGGTAGCCATGTTTGAGAACTTTGTTGGTGTGACTCAGGAGGAGGATGTACCTCAGGTAAGTAATGATATTTTTATATCATGGATGACTTACTGTTGACATATACCATTACCACCACCTCCCAAAGGGAATATCCCCAGCATAATCAGTTTCAAGGTTTAGTCTCACTACAAATTATTTATCTGTGGCGAGAGATCCAAAGCTCTGTGAATAAGGCAGACTCTCCAATGTCAGATGGACCAGCATCACCTCTTCACACCCAAGAACCTTCCTATTGGATCATACAGTAGGACTGAACACACAGGAATTCTTTTTTTTTTTAATTTAAATTATTTTCTAAAAAAAAAGGTGGGATAGAGAAGGGAAAAGGAGGTGGTGGGAAATATAAATTCATCAGGTTTTCAAATAATATAAGTTGTTACGTACAAGTAAAATCAAATATATTACTAAATATATTACGTATTTCAAATATAGAAGAAGACATTAAAGAATAAAACACACAGGAATTCTTGTCTAGCTTTGTGTAGTGTGTGTGAAATTATGGAATTTGTTCACATTCGTGTTTCTACAATAGTTTTTGCCATGGTTGAGTTCCTGTCTACTGTGGTTGCTGGCATGCTATTAAAATTAAACATTCTGTCTTGCAGGTACATAAACTGCTTAGGAGTTTGTTCCTATCAGATTCAAGTCATTGCCTAATCGCTAGATCAGTATTTGTCTGAAAAGGTGTAATTAAGCCCCTGTTCAGCAATTGAGGAAGTACAGGTCTGGGTAAAAGCAGGGGTTAGTAGGAACAGACATTTTGTACATGGGCTGTTAAAAAGCTTTATATTCACACAAACCCTTCGTGGGGGAGATTCTATTGTGCTATGAAAGAAGAGCACAATGGCAGAATTCGAGGTTTCCTAGGAAGTGCTGGATTATTTCTTTTGTATGTTGCCTTTCCAGGACAGATGCAAGAAGGCCACTGCTGCAGTATCTTGTCCATAAAAACCTGGGGGCAGCTCTGACTTTCAGATCAAAATGTTGAGGTTTTCCTTCAGTGTGTCAAATGCAGTATATTCTTCAGACTGATCTGAAATGATCACGGCAAAGTACATATATTAAAAATAAAGTCTGATCTGTTCAAGGTAGAACCAAATAGAATTTTTATGTGATAGTGCAAGTGACAGTTGCTGATATGCACTAGCTTAGTGTTGGTGCAGAGCAGGGGGATTTAAGCAGCTCCTTGCACAAATAATCATGTTCAGGCACATGTGCTTGTGCACATCTGTTCTTTATGCTTTTTAAAGACTTGTGCTTCAAGCATAGATCTATAGTGCTGCTGGACATCTTAAAATCTTAAGTAGATCTTTATGTTTAATCTGTTGTAATCTGATTCATTATTACACTGACTTGTGACAGGAAATCTCACATGCTTTTTCCTCCTTACTGGCATGCAGTTGTACCATATCGTTTTTGTTGGACACAGGTGCGGTGTGACTGGTACGTGTATGCGTTTCTGTCATCCTTACCTTGGGTGGGAAAGGAATTGTACGAGAAGAAGGATGCTGAGATGGACCGAATTTTGTCCCATGTTGAAAATTACTTGAAGTAAGGGAACCAAGAGGCTATCTGCTGTGCTTTGTTGGGTGTTAATACAGTCGGAAAAGTGTCTTCTCTGAAATTCTTAAGTTGCAGAAGCTCTTATATGATAGTTAAGCACACATAAAATTAGATGCTGAAAAACTGAGTTCTAATATAATAGTGAAACACACGGTATATATTGCTCATTAGGAGGGACTGAGCACTTTGAAGCGGTTTG